AACTCTTGGAATTCCCTTTATTTTCTCTGCATCAAAATGAGGCCTAAGGGGCCCCAAGACCCACAACTCACACATGATTTATAGTATAATTCTATCAAAAGTTACCTAAAAAACTTCACACTTACGCAGTGTGAAAAATTACTCGGAAACGGCAAATATTTTAATATGAGCAAGAACATTCTAACTACGCGCTCATAGATCTTCGAGAAGAGCCTGTCTAAACTACAGCGAGCTACAAGCAAACCTCTGTATCTTCTTTGAGAAGACAAAAGAAATACAACAAAATGTAATCTGTGGCTAGTCGAAATCCTCTACACTCTATATCAAATCTTATATTGCTGCTGTGATATGAATAACAAAATATTATATAAATAATTAATAAAATTGGAAGAATATACCGTCGTTAATCTTACTTTCTAGTTATAAAAATTTTTTCTTTTATACACAAAGAAAATAATAAAGAGAAATAGAGTTTTTCGCACAAGTTTCTAGGCAGAGCTAATATGCCCACAGCCAGTGTATAAAGAGTGCAAAACTGATTTTATTTTTATTGTCATTCTTGGATGCTTCTTGTTCTTCTTCGTAAGTACTGAAGTACCGATTATTGTCTATTATTATTATCATTTCTGTGTTAAGCTATGCGATGCTGGGGCAAGACTCGCACATGCCACACTGTACTTAACTACACGTGCGATGCTCAACGAAGCTAATGATGATCATGCTCGAGCTGATCATGATGATCGTGCTGATCGGCGCAGAAGTGCGATGGACCAGTAGCATTTGTCGCAGCATCGAGCACAAAAGTTCTTGTCATTGGCAAAACGACTTTCACCGAGCTTAGAATGCCGCGCAGTGACATCTTTCGGCCGCAAAAGTTTCTTTCATCGGTCGTTATGGTTTCTGCAGCCTGTGTAGAGAGGCAAAGGGCAGCGAAAGAATTTCTAATTTGAGTTTGCTCAGATTGAGTGGCCCATCTGGGGGCCTTCAGGCCAAGAATCTGGCTATATATTCGGCTAAAGCAATTCGAAATTAGACAATTAAGAGACACTGCCCCAACGAGCCGACAGTTAACGAAATTGCATCATTTATCTGGATAAAATTTCACTCGAAAAACGGGCCAGCATGTATGTATTTCCGGGTCACACGCACGTTAAACTGGAAAAAAGGCAAAAGGCATTTATACACCCCACACACACACACACACATGCACACACTCAGGCACAGCAAATATGTACGTATTCAATTTCATGCTGGCCACGACAATAATATTTTGCAGCGCTGCCAGAAGCAAAGAATGCAGCAACACTTAAAGGGCCGCACTGGCCCGGAGGACACAAACAAATTACATACAATAATCAGCTTTAATTAACGCATCGTTTTATCTCTGGCATATAAACCCAAGAGGGCCCAGCTTCAGCATCATTGTTGCCTCTTCTGCCTCGACTTGGCTTAAACTGTTTAGCCAGGGGCGTTGAACTTATTTGGCAAAAGGCGTTGCGATTGCCACATCATTCAAATGGAATCTCCGCATTTTAGAGAATTTATGAACGACCCAAAGATTCCAATCTTCAATTATGAATACAACGGCAACAATAAGTGCTGGCGGCCTTTGATGGCTAAAAGCCATGCCAGACAAAATATTTGTGCTAAATGCTTAAGCGATTAAAAATGCTCTCAATTATGCTCTTAGATGCTCATATCGCCAGACAATACATATGGAGTACAAGTATGTGGTATATAGAATAATATTTGATATGGTCCACTCAATGGAGAGCATATCGCAAAACGATTTCACGCCTCTCGAACAAGTGATAGGGACAACAATTGTTAATCAAGATCAAATTGTAACAAAGCTCTCTCATCACATATGCTTTGAAAAAAGCCGGCAAAAGTCAAATAGAAAACCTAAAACAATATTCTCAATTATTGTAAGCTTTGCCAAAGGTGTGAATGGGAAATAATATATAGAATGATAAAATTTTAATATTCAAGGGATCTCACATAAAATTCTAAATTCCTATAGATTTCGCACTGCCGTCGATTTAGTTCGTGTGCAAAGAACCAACAAAAAAGAATAAATACAATCAAAGAGCATAAAAAAGCCCCTGGTTTACATACACGGCCATAACACTTAAGAATAAGGCTCTCAGGGTTCGCGGTGCACATTTAAAATTCAATGGTGGCACACAAAACAAAGCAGAAATAAAATTTTCTCAGCTCATATTTCACCCAGCCTGGGCATAATATTACGCCCAATTTGGCGCTGGCAACGGTGCTGGACCTAGAACACGTCTTGGGCTGGGGCCCCTTGTTAACAACAGGCAGTTACAATGGGACAACGTTGGCTGTTTTTGTTTGTTATACCCTGCAACGATGCTGCAGCGGGTGCTATGAACTAGCGCGCGTTAAGTGTAACGGTAAATAGTGGGTGAAATGTGCTGTTCATTGGGTTATTTTCGATAGGAAATATGTTTCATTCGATATAATTTAATCCGAAATGATATTACTTTTTAAACGGGGTCAAAATAAATTTACCAACAACAAAATTTTTATTCAAAATATTGTATAAATATTTTATTTTACTAGAAAAAAATACAGCAAATGAATAATTTTTTCCAAGAGTTTGTTTTTCTTTATTAAAATTTTCAGTTGCAAAATTTTCTTAAAAATAGAGGGTATCGATTCGTCGGCTCAGAGCTGTTTGGCGCGCTGTCTTACTTTGTATGTTTTTGGCAACTTAATCAGCAGGCAAAGGTAAACGTTAACGGATGCTTTTAGAATTCACAGACTCGGCCAGAAGAAGCACAAGCATGGAAACACGACGATGCTCAACGCTTGCGGTCCACGATCCGACCACAGCCACAGTTAGGCAGTTAGGCAGTTAAGCAGGCTGTCAGGCAGGCACTCAGAGAGGAAGGAAGTGAACAATTCACATCTTGCAGCCAGAGAGTTAGCGTTATTGGTAGCTTTTCTTTTTTGGCGGCTTTATTTTTGGCAGCTAGTTAATTGCATAAAGCTAAAACAAACAGATTTACACATAATTAAATCTATTTTTGTGGCTCATTAATTGTCCAGAGCGAATGCGAAAACAAATGACTTAGGCAACGAACTCGCATCAAATGAGCACATTTATTGGCCGTGCAATTTGCAGCTGCTAACGAAAGCATCGCAATTTTCATTTTCACCCCGAATGGAAAGTGGGCAGCGATTCTTTTTTGGAAACAACAAACAGCCAAATAATGCACCTGCCGCTGGCGAATCGCTTGTCAAATCTCTGAAGCTCATCAACGGATTCGCCGTTGCCTTTTGTCATTGTCATAGAAATGGCGGTGAAATGCAAATTGCCTTTCCCAAAACACAAGCTCGACCACAACGGCCAAATCAGCCAAAATATTTGTACATGAATTCGGACATATTTGATGCCTAGCATTTCCGCGAGCATTAAATATTGGAATGCCAACACTTAGACAACATTTGCACTTCCTTGAGCGACAGATTCGCTTTGATTTCCACTGACTCCGACATTCTCATTTCATTTCTGTTTTCTGTTTCATTCAACAATTCTCGCCTTTGCGCTGCTGCGGCTTTCACCAGATCGTGATGATCATCTGGGCTATACCTGAACGGGCTAGCTAGCTCATCAGTATGCGGGGGCCATTGTCGCAGTCATTCATTGAAAGCGAAAGGTCGCCGCAGCAACAACAACAACAGCAACAACAACATCAACAACGTCAGCAGCGGTAAGCGATCTCGCATCAAATTCAAATTGATTCATTTTGAGTCTATGATGAGGGTTCTCTAGATTTGATGTTTTTGATGTTTGTTTACATTTGAAATAGACGAGTTGACTGCATTAAAAGCATAATCGTTAAATTTATGAGCCGAATATGCTAATGTGCTAATTGAATAGTTCAATAAAATAAAAATGTATAGAAAATGGACAAATAAATCTTTATCCCACACAATTGAACTTTCGTTTTCACACAGGAATCAATGTGTATCAACTTTCTTCAGCACTGGCATCTCACTTAGCATCTCGATTAAGAATGCATTGTGAACCAATTTATGGATTTGTGTGTTGCGTTTCTGCCGTTACCTTTCTCCCAATGCAACTGACTTCGTTTTGGGCTCCTAATTCAGTTAAACTGTCTATTACTGCTGCCGGACAATATCTTTATGCAGTTTTGTAGCTTTGTGGAGCATAAAACGCACGACAACCAACACCGCCTATGGCCGACCACAACATCGCTGAGGCCCGATAGAATATCTGCAAAAAAAAGTACAAATATGGAAAATGTGTAACAAAAAAAAAAAAAAAAATGCATAATTATAATTTTCATGTACCAATAACTCAGCTAAGTGTACGGTGTCCAACTTGAGAAATTGATTTTCTGCTACGAGTTCTGGGTTCTCAAGCCGACCATGCACTGGTCTCAATTTAATTAATGATTTTGAACGTCGTGTGCCCGTTTTGAACTTTTCCTAAGTGGATTTTGTAATCGTTAGATGGGCTCTAAAATTATGAATGAAATCAGGCATATGAAAAAAAGAGAGAGTACTCCCAGCCAGCACACACATATGCCCTGGCTAGAGAAAGACCAACAGCGAGAGCGAGAGAGGGACAGAGAGAGAGAGAGAGAGAGAGAGCGAGAGAGAGTAGCCACTCTCCCGAGTGCGCACGCGAGCTCACTAGAACGAAGCAAACAGCTTTTTCTGCCAGCGCCGATGAGTGAAAAGCCGCACCAAAAACAAAAGCAAAGGCCGACTTTTCCTCACTCACTCGAAACGCAAAAGCAAAGTCAAAGGCAAAGGCAAAAGTGGAAAGACTCAAACTCGAAAGCAAACACAAAGTGCAGCTCACACTCAAAGCAATTGAGCGGTTCGCGTGTGCGCGCGCTCATTTCTTTGGCTTTCTTTGTTTGGTTTGTTTTGTGGCTTTCTTTCGCTGCGGCCAAAAGCAACGATCGCCGCTGAGCAACGAGTCACAACCATTGCCATTGTCAAGGCGAGCGCACGGCCAGCCGGAGCAACTATCAACAACAGCAGCAGCAACACCAGCAGCAGCAGCAGCAGCAGCAGCAGCAACTGCATCAAAGTCTTCAAACTTATATAACGACCGATTAGCCTGACGGTTACTTTAGTTATTCGGTCAACTCTAGACGGTCAAGTTCGCAACTAAACACGGCTGGATCGCTAGAAAAAAAAATAAAAAAAAATAAAATCGAAAAAGAAAATAAAATAAATTGAATTTAAATCACGCACTAATGCAGGCACATATTCGCCAGGAAGTGTGTCTGAACTTACAAGTGCAATTGTAACAGCAAGAAATCCTAACTAAAGTGCAAAGTGAACCAAATTGTGTGAAAGTTAACAAAGAAACAAATCAAGCAGTACGCCGTTTACTCTAAAATAAATAAACATACACATAAAAACCGAATTTCTGTCAAATATCTGAAGGATATTTGGCGCTGGTGACTTCTGACAACCTGCAAGAATTCTTGCAAATATCAAGTGAGTGTCCCTATCTAATCATACAACATGTCTACAAATTCCTAAGAAATCTATGTGGATCATTAGAAGAAATATATTTATTTGATCAAATTGAAAAACAAAATCGAATTGATTCAAATGAAATATATATTTGATTGATACTGTGATAATTCATATCCATTTTAAAAGCTGATTATGAATATGAAGAATAACTGAAGCATTTCAAGGCTGATCTTTATATCTAAAATCCATCTAAATATTTTTCTTTGGCAATATATGCAATATATTCTTTTTTCAAGTGAATGATAAGTATATACGTTTATATGATTACCGTTCGTAAGATATCTAATATGATATACATATACTGCATATATGAAAGTATATTGTACATAGATGACTTGCACATTAATCTACCTTGACCCATTGAACACAAAACTGAAAATATTTCGTTAAGTTGTAATTAAATTCAGTTCTATAAAACAAACTGTTCTTCACGATCTTCGTCCTTATCTAATGCAAATCTCATAAATTTGCTTTTCTTGGCATTTATAACAAATGTATTTTGAATAATATATAAGCCCCTTCAACCTTCTTCTTATGGCAGCCACAGGTTCATTTCGTCTTTAGGCATTCCGATAGCCTTGGCAATGCTTAAGTTGCCCTTGAGTGGAGCAGCATTTTCATGCCAATTATCAGCTCATCTTAGAGCACCCTCTGGATAATTACGTATGTGGCATATAGATAATCTAGATTCTCTCAGGGCTCTATAATTATTGTAACACAAGCAGCGGCCAATTAAAATAATTTAGACCTGTGCGATTTTGATGTGGTGTGAAATCTGCAATGAAATGTGTCAAAATGCGAGAGCTTGTCTCTCGTCTTTGGCGCAAAAGACGGGCACAGACCACCAGCCGAAATGATGCATTGAATGTCAGATTGCAGCAGCTACTGTCTTAGCTAGGGTTCCATTAACATTACACTATTACCCAGTGCTTGCCACTGTCATGAAGATGCCACCACAACAGCAACAACAACAACAGCAACAACAGTAGCAAACAACCTGCGTTGGTATTTAAATTTGCTCACATAATTGCACTGGCCATGACTGGGCTGAGCCGCAATCGTAGTTGCTGCCGGAGTTGGAGCTAGAGCTGGAGTTGGAGAGCTAAGACTAGAGTCGCATCATCGTCATGATGACATGACAGTTACAACACAAAACCGATGGGTAATCTTATCTGCCGGGTGGGTTGGCTCTTGGCTGTTAGCTATTTGCTGGGTTCCTGGGTTAGCTGACTGGCTGGCTGGCTGGCGGCTGGCTGGGTTGCCTGCCTGGCAGCTATTAATTTACGCAACCTGCCAGTCGCTGTTGATTAGACGAAGCGTGCGCTTTAATTGCCGCCAAATGGGCAAATCTGCAACACGCTCTTTGCTGGGCTCTCGGCTTGCAATTTGTCATGTGCATTTAATATTTGCCCAGCTCAAAGGCTCAAAGGCCCCCCCAATGTAGCCGACATAGCGCAAAACAATTTGCGTTTGTTTGTCCAGCTTGTTTGTTGCAGTTAGCGTTGATTAGCGTGCAGAGAGGCTCAATCGCAGTGCAAGTTTCATTGCAATTACGGCTAGAGCAACGGTTGCAACAGTTGCAGCTGCGCTTTCTTGCGGTGGGCAGTGGCACGCCTCTTGGGCAGCATTTAACGCAGCAGCTGTCAGTCAGCAAAACAATTTCAAATGTCTAAGCATACACGCACACAGACACACACACACACATGCACATGCACATTAGAATGGACCCACCGCATTTGGGCGTTCTGCTGTGAAATTGAACGATTTGACATTTGGCGCAAGTCTTCCTTCTGCATCGATTCACCGAGAGAGCCGGCAGTCGGAGCTCTTGCTTTTTGCTGCAATCGCTTCTCAATAATAATTCTGACATTCTGTAATTTACTTTTGCGGCTGCCGTGTGGCTGCTGTCGCCAGGCAACTAATAATGCTCATAATGACAATCGACGGCCTAATCAAGTTGTCGTCAAAGAAATCGCCATCGATTCTGAGTAAGAGCCGCAAAATAGTGAAGCGTACGGTGTGCGGCAATTGTCATGATTGATCAAATTATGTTGCGAAAACCGCTTCCGTTTCAGTTTATAAAAGAAAATTGATTGAGTCGCCGGCCGTGAGGGAAAAAGATGCAGCCAATCATTGCAATCTTCACTGGGCTAATGTTGCCAATGAACATACTTTTTTTTTATCTACTTGAGGTTTTCATTTATTTTTATTATTTTTTATTTTTTTGCGGCTCTTGAGTTCTCGTTTGCTTTCCGTTTGCCTCATTTGACGTGCGCCCGATTTCCGTTTCGTTTATTCAAATAGTTGGCCAAGTTTTGGGTCAGCTGATACAACGGTCGCTGTTTTCGTTGGCAATTAGCAATCTCCTTGTCAACAATAGACGCCAGGGATCTAACTGTTCAGATTGGGGCAATCTCTTGAATGTTTGTCGCCAAATGGGTTAATGCTGATTTCGGCAATGGCCCAGGGCCAGCTATTTTTCGGTAGTTGCTAATTTATGCCCAAGTAGCCAATAGTGGGAACAATTTTGATAGATGGGAAATTGCTAGACGATACGACGAAATTGCGGCTCATTTATATGCAAAAACTTTCGTTTCGCTCAGGAAGCGGATCAGACAACAATTTTACTCGGGCCTGTGATGCAAGTGAAAGCCAGGAAGCTGGAAACAGTTCAATGAACACACAGCATAGATGATTGAGAATTCCCAAAGGGTTTCGGCTCGTTGACAGAGCGCGGCCTAAAGCCGATAAATCATGATTATGCTCGAGTAACTGTATTTTGTGTATGATTCATAAGTCAAGTATGCAAAATGCATGGCCCCCAATGAGGTCACGAGGGTTCGTTGCCGCCGCCTCAGGCAAATCAGATGGTCCGGCCGTGAAGCCAACCCACATTTCAGCTGTCATCCCAGACACGGAGCAGCCAGGCAGGCAGGCAGCCAGGCAGGAGTTGGGGCTAAGATGCTGTAAGTGGGGCTGAGACTGAAACTGAGACTCTTGCTGAAACTAAAACTGCTTGTTTGCCACTTGATTGGCTGGCTTCGCTTTCATTGCCAAATGTCTGCAGGAGCTGCAGCTTCACTTGCTCGGCTTGACATGCAGTTTGGCTAATTCATCCAGAAGTGCTGCCCGAAATAATTTGCGGCTGTGTGAAAGTATTTTTCGTTTGTTTGCGTACATCAGCATTTTGGCTTTGGCTTTCGTTTTGCCATTGCTCTCAAGTATAGTATTTTAATTGAATATTAATTGAAAAATAAAAGTTTTGCCAGCAACAGCAGCAGTAGCTGCATCTGCACAGCTGGCGGCCAAACTCAAATACAAATTCAAATACAAATGGCAATACCATATATTCGGGCTCATATCTGGATGCTGCTTTCAAGAGTTTCACTTTTCAAATATCAATGAACTTTTGCCAGCTGAACTTCTCCCCGGGCAGGCTTACACACAATGGCAGCTGTGCCGCCTCCGAAACGCCCAAGACTTCACGGCAGTGACACAAGCAGCATCACGACAATTTTGTTTGGGCAGAAGCCGCTGCAGCCGCCGACAGAAATTACAAAGAAATAATCGTTGAAGAATTTGACTTTCGCTTGTTGGTCCTCGCCGCAGCCGGGCCATAAATAAAAAGGCCCCCCTAAAAGATTTGTGATTGTCGCCGATTAAATGCGCGAAAAGTTGCCAGCAAAAAAATAAAAACGCTTTGGGTGCAACTCACAATTGGCACGACGCGGCACTGGCATTGGCCCATGGGGAAGGAGGAAGCATGGATTAATGGTAATAATGATGCCCAGTCGTTTGTATTTGCTTAAACTTTGACATTTGCCAGCTGCAGCCGCATATATCGCCTCGGTTGGCCGACGAAAAAGGAAAAGTCCATCCAGTCAGGATAGCATGTGAATTAGCAACCACTTGGGCAGACTGAGAAAAGATAAAAACCTGCTCAAAATGTTAATTCATTGAAAGTTCAGGTTAAATAAAATAAATTCAAGCTGAACGGGATAAGATATGATATGGAGAGGGACATATGAAAACCATCTAAAACTCTTAACTTATTCAATATTTGAATATATGTATATAGATATTTAATAGTTCAATAGTTGATCTTCGTTTTAGGCCGCATCTTAAGCTGAGTAAATTCTCCTTTGGCTACATCTTTTATCGGCATCTAAGTGGCATATTCAAAACTGGTAGCACCCATTTATATTTAACCTCTGACTCATATTTTGGCCTGGCTTGGGTAGCTCCCAACAAAAAGGTTTCACCTCTTTCGATGACATTCAATTTCGCTTTCAAAAAGCTGACTCTTTTTTTGTTTTTTTTTTTTGTTTTTTGCGCTTTTTATTAAATTGACAATAATCCAATAAACGTTAAATGCGCCTGGGTCGTGACAAAAATTCGATGCCGCGGCGTGAAAGCGCCAGCTACAGACAGCGATTCGAGCTCCAAGTACTCCCGCCAGCCCCCAGCTCTGTTGCAGCTCTCCTAGCCACCCCGCTACCCCTCTACCCCACTGATGGTATTGCATTTAGGCGCTGTTAACATTTTGACATCAACGCGTTCCATTAGAAACTTCTCTGGCGAGTGACCCCCGAGAGCACATTAATAGGCTCGATTTTTATATACATTTAGGCGCAGCGTTTAGTTGCTGCTCCGCTGGGCCGTTAGTTGGAGCTGATGCTTCTTCATTTCGAGTGCCGCTTGGAATTCGGCTGGCGTCGCCGGCTGCTCGGGCCGGGGCATCTGCTGGCAACGTGCCAGCCGCTTGAGACTTCTATTTGTATTGTGGTCTGCTTTGCGGTACCCATGCATGTTGGCACTTGGCCGCCTTTACGACTTTGGCTTTGAGTTTGAGTTTGAGTTTGGCTTTCAGCCACACAACGCACAAGTATTTTTTTTCTCTATGCTTGCGCCTCATTCTACGCCCATTCAATGGCATTTTTTAAGTAGTCTTCTACTTTTTTTTTATTATTTCTTTTTTTGACCTTAATAGAAAGTGTTACAGTTCAATGTTTGTAGCTTCCGTTGCTGCAAGTCTTCAGTTGATTTTAACAAGCAGATGGCTTGGCTAGAAGACAATCTACAGTCGGATCTGAGTGCTCTAAGAACACGTGCATGGAGGCCTTTTATCTGCTCGGGAAAAACTCTCTTCTTTTTCCCAAAGATATAGTTCTGTGTGTCAGGAGTGTATAGGCTATATAAGACTATTATATCTCTCCTTTCCCAGCAGTTTTTGTTGTTTTGCATTAGATACAGGGTATGTAATCACGTTTAGCTGAGACTTTGATGTGTCTATCAGAAAAGCAAAAGTGCAAATCTTGTTGAAGACAGCTCGTTAGAATGCCCGACACTCGATTTTGGTCAATTTGCATTTGGAAGCACAGAAAGAAAGTTGCTAAAAATAAACTGAGAAAAAAACCCAAGCGAAAGAAGAAAAGTAAAAATAAAATAACAAAAAGGTTAAGAAAACACTAAAATCATGGGAGACATTCGAATTGCTAACGGCGCGTGCGTTGCATCTTTAATTGTATATACTTTAAGTTATTTAGCTCGATTGAGCTGCGCGAGTTGGCCAAGTGAAACTGGCTGAATGTATAAGCCAATGTGCAGAGTCCTCGAGACTTTAAGTTGCAAATGTGTTAAAATTGGCAGCCTTTTAAGGCAAGTGGCAGTCGCTGCTGCTGCTGCCGCTGCTGCTGCTGCCGCTGCTGCTGTTGGCCATATTTAATTTCGTTATTTATAAGCAAATTTGTTGCGCTGAGTTATGCCCCGACCAAAGCCTAGCGACACCGTCGACTAGGTCAACTTTCGCTAGCATGGAATGCGAAATGCAACAACAGCAGCAACAGCAAAAACGAAGCTACAACTGCTGCAGCAGCAACAACAGCAGCAACAGCAACAACAACAACAACATTTGCAACAAACAGCGACATTGCCAGCCAATAATAAAGCAAAAGAAGTGCTCTGGCTGACTGACATTGTCTGACTTGGCTGACTTTGGCTTGACTTGGCTGAGATGCTGCCACAGGGAGCTAATAATACGCCAGTCGGGCCTTTTTTGTCCGGCACGAACTCAAAAGCGGGTTTGCTTGAATTTCTTTACCTGCTTCGTTTAAATAGTTGCAAATAAATTGTGTGGGTAGCGACGAGAGATGTGCAACAGCAACAGCAACAACAATTGCAAGAGCAACTGCAACAGCAACAGCAACAGCCACAGCATCTGCAACAGCAGCAAGTAAATTACTTCAATGTCACCTGCTGATGATTCAAAGTTGAGATAAGCGCTCTAAAAGAAAGAACCTCGTCGTCGTCGTCGTCGTCGTCGTCGTCGTCACTGAGGCTGTCTTTGGTTCCGTCGTCGTTGTCGTCGTCGTCGTCGTCATGACGGATATTTTCAGCATTGCAATTGCCTTAAGTTTTCTCTTATAATGAAATTATCGCTGCATCTCATTGTTTGACTGTTGTTGTTCTGGTTGTTGTTGTTGCTTCAGCGTTGTACCATCTGAGATTTTGTCTGTTGCCGCAGTGGTAAAATTATTTATTTAGTTCTCGTTTTCACGTTAAACGTTGTCACACTAAACTCAATTGCTGAACCACAGATGCCTATCGTCAGCCGGCCCGCTGATAAGGCCCGGCACTGAAAAGCCTCATGGCCCCGCACTCCCCCGCACATTGTTTTGTGCCCCTCGCTGTCGTTTTCTTTTCTTCGTGCAGCTGAAAAATCTTAAGTGGGTCTCTGGCCCAGAACGTAGCAACCGAACTCGTACTCTAACTGACTTCCAGCTAATATTTATACAATTTTCATTTGTTTGCTTACAGATCACACAGCATACATAAACGAATTCTCTGTTACGGCGTCGTAGTGGGGTGCATTAGATTCCAGCTACGTCTATTTGGCCAACACTAACAATAGCTAAGGTATGTGTAAAGCAAAGATAAAAGGTTATGCTAAGTTCAAAATATTAGAAAAAAAGCAAACGATAAGCAGCAACTACTCAAAGATCCCCAGAAGCAAAACTCATTTGCATTATGGAACGGATATTAAGCCAGTAAACGCGTAATTCAGGTCTATTTTATGCCTGTCCATAAACGGTTAATTAATCCTTAACAAATTTACAGTTATGCTATAAGGCATCAACATCAGCAGAAGCAAACAACATATAAATATAAAAAAAAAATACAAAATATTAATTACAAAGGCCGTAAATAACAGTAAACGTGTCCATTAACTGATTATGTTATCCGTTCATTCAATATGATGTACTACGTCCAGACTGATTGAGAAAAAGTTCAACATTAATGATCCCCCAGAGGTTTATGATCAATAACATCTTACTCCAAGAGTCGTTCTGCTAACATTTTATAGTCGGCTGTTAAGCATTTTTATGTTATTCCATAAATATTTAACAATTTGCCAAGCTCACATTAATAAAGAAAGGTGAGCTGACCCCCAGGCATAGCTCAAAGCTGGCCATAGTACAAACACACACACACACACACACACACACACACACACACACACACACACACACACACACTCATACACACCCACCTTGAGACTAATCCCGAATGCAAATTGAGATCTGAGCAGATGCCAGACAAGCTGGTAATTCAAGCTCAGCTCCAAACGTTTTTAGCCAATCTGTGGGCCATCGATAATGTTTATTAAATGCAAACAAAGTGAAATCCGTTTTGGTTAACTTCTTTATTCAGACAGGAAATGTTTGCCGGCTGCTTCTAGTGCTTCTAGTGCTTCGCTTGCTGCTTCGGCTGCATCTGCCACGGCATCTTGCAGCATTCCAGCCGGCTGCATTGCCCGGTGCATATCATCGACCCAGTTTTAGCATTCTCCTAGCCAGCCTGAGTGCAGCAAGCGGCGTGCTAACTGGGCGCTGAGCACAGTGTTTAGTTAAATAGAAAATAATTTGGCGTGGGTTGCTCTCAGATACAGATACAAGAGCAACAAACAAGAACTGAAGCTGCCATCGCTGCTGCTGCTGCTGCTGCCAAAGACTAAAATTATTTCTTTTCAAACTATTTCATATACCCTGCAAATTCATGTTACAGTCAGAGGAAAATAGAATTTATAGTGTGAGAAGTAGACTTCGACTGACATTGAGATATATTGAGGTATGATTGAGATATAACTAAAAGATTCATTACTTCAATTCAATAATTAGACCATATTACATTACTAGAAAAATAAATATATGTATCTATTTTGAAAAAAAGTAATTTATTCACATAGAAGACTATCACAATATATAGAAGCTATATAGTAGATCATTTTGCAGGCTATGCTGCGGTCGAGCATTGCTGTAGCTATCTGGCCAGCGTTGTTCTTGTTGCCAGCTCGCATTTCACACAATTCGCACACAAACACTGAATAAATTAGCGTGCTATATAAACAATATGTATATAGAAGGCGAGGCGTAATTGTGCAATGAATATCAACAGAAATGGAGAACTCGGAGGACGGCCATAGAAACTGCTGCTATGGAAACTGGAGGCATGCTGGAGCCTCTGCCTCTTGCTGAAGATTGCATGCGCCTTTAAAGCCGTTTGCTCTGCTGTCCCACTTGTGTGCGGCCTTCGATGGTTTGGCTGGCTGGCTGCCTGGCTGGCTGGCTGGCTGGTGGTGCTCCAGAGCCGCCGTCTTGTATTCCACAATAAACGGCACGCAGAGCAGTGACTTTAATATTTATTGCGTTTTAAGAGACGCATTGAGAACGGTGGCTTTTGGTGCCCAGAAATGGGCAACTGTTGCCTGCTGCCTGTTGCCTATTGCCTATTGGCTGCTGCCTGCCAGCTGGCCATAAATCTCAGCCAAGTTGGCTTTTTATGTGCAAATTATTTAATGAGGGCTGCACTTATGCGGGCTACTGAAATTGGGCTACTGGCCATATTGGGTCAAAGTGTTTTCTGTCTGCGGCTCTGGTTGGCCAAATTGTTTCGATTTCGACCAAGACATTTATCTTCTTCTTCCGCTGGCAACACCTGAGACGGAAGTGCGAAGATAAAATTAAAAGCGAAGAAGAATAAGAAGAGATATCAGCTTCGACTGATATATTGATTTTGATTGCTATTGAGAGACAGCGAGAGATGAAGAGGGAGAGGAAGAGGGGCGATGGCTGTGACGTGTGTACATGTATATAATGATGGCTAATAAATCAACAGAGATTGCCTGGAATCTGGAATTTCTGTGAGCGTTAGCCACGTCGTCGTCGTCGTCGTCGTCGTCGTCATCCTCGTCGTCGGCATCTTTTGTGTGGCATGCAGCGCCTGCATTTCCTGCGCCGCGTTGCCAATGCCAACAAATTAGCGCAACGGCGTCGGCAAAGGCAAAATCATAAGGCTAAATCCCCAGTCAGAACAGCAGACTCTAGAGCCGGCAAGCCTAGCACTCGGCACTCGGCACTCGGCACTCAGTCTATCAATCAGTCAATGCAACTGGCTAACAAACAAATGCAAGAGCTTTTGTTGTTATTGCAGTCGTTGCGCTGGCTTTTTACCTGTTTGGCGAGGCCAATCTTAATGTTTGTGCAGCCAAGTGGATGCGAACATGGAAAAACTTGTTGCACTTCTTGTTTGAGCTGCCGAATGCCGCTTAGCCCATCGAATGTCACAAGAAGCAACCACAGCAACAAAATTAAACAAATACGAAATACATATATATGTATGTATATACATATATATTTTCTTTTTGTCAAATTCCAGCTGTTTGGACTATAATTGATCTGAAGCTCAGCAAATGCTCAATCTGAAAGTTGGAGCTATGCATCTGCTTGCACAACAAAATGTTTGCTTTTACCCAAGACTTACGGCTCGAGTGGTGTCCAGAGACAGAAGAGCCCCAGCAAGTGTACTCTACTCAAGATTACTTCACTGCCAGATACCACCTGTTCAAAGTTCTAGTATATACACACACACGCACGCACACACACACGCACACACACACACACACGCACACGCACACACATGTGTTTGCCTTCTTTATTGATGCAGCAGGCATGTAAACAAAAACTTTCTTGTTTTCGTTTAGAACTTTCCAAAATTTTAATTCCATATCAAAGCAAATTGTTGACTCTTATTCAAATATTCCTATAATATTTATACATTTCTAAATTGCTGTCACTTTTTTGGTAATTTTTTATGAAATCTGACAAGCAGCTGCTAATAGCTGCTCAAATGAATTATTATCTTGTTTGCATATTTATTTCTGAGATGCCTTTGATTTGTACATGCGCAGGATTCTTGGCTGTCGAATGGTGAAGACCGAAAATGAAAACACTTGTATGCAGTTTGAAAGTTTTGTCGCCTGTTTGTTTCGTTTTTTACTCGTTTTTTTTCGTATTTCGTTTTTCGTTTTTGTACATGCTGTGTGCATCTGCCATGCCATGCCATGCCATGCAATGCGATGCCATGGTTTTGGCCAGGCCGGGGCCAGTTGAAAATGGGTTAATGGCACATTCTAATGGTCGGGCCAGGAAAGTAGGCAGGCCGTCATTTGAGCTAACAAATTTATTAGTCAGCTCGTATGCAGCTACTCAGGCTCAGTGCTATGAGTGTGTTCGGCCATGAATATTGCGCTCAAATTGGCTTAAATGCCAAGCGTTGGCAATTAGCTGCGCAGCCGGTGGGTGGGTGGTACGGTGCAACAGTTTACAGTTAGTTTGCGCCATGTTGACAGTTACGTGCACCGCTGCTCAGCAGCAACCACCTGCCACCTGCCACCGTTGCCACCAAAGCGGTGGCGTTGCATAAATTAGCCAACAATGTGGAGCACCGTGAGGCAGCCGCATTATTGTGGTGCTTCTGTGTTGCGGGCGGTGGTGCTGCCACTGCCACTGCCACTGCCTCTGCCACAATTCACAGCCTTTTGTACTTGCGTAATGCATTTTCACGCAATTTATAACAGTTTGCAAAATTGGGTCAGCCACAGCAACAGCAACAGCAACAGGTGGCCGCCCAAAGAAATGTGTGCTTATAAATGCATTTGCATTTGATTGAGTCGTGAATTGGCAACGCACACACACACACATACATGGCAGAAGCAGCCATAAATCTTGAACTGTGGGAGTTGCCACCCGTTTCGGTCGTTCTGAAAAACATTTATGACTGCAACTTTGCCGCTTCGACCTGGTTTCGACAGCATCATTTCCAGAAACCGGAGCCAGCTGCTGCGCCCGTTGCTGCGACTGCGGCTGCGGCTGCAGCTGATGATGATGCGGCTTTGGCGTGCGCTTTTCAATTTGTTAGCCGCCGTTTCCTTCTTCTATTAGCTTTTTTTGTGCATTTATGTGAGTATGTGTGTTTACTTGTGTGCGGCATCTGGATTTATGTGTGCTGTCAGCTTTTCGGCTTTACTAAGCTTTATGAATTTTACTTTTAGGCCAAGAATTCAAGAGCCGCAACAACTAATTATACGACACGTGCTAAGCCACTGCGCCATAGCCGCCGATTATAAATTGCATACAGTTAAGAAATTATAAAAATCACACACACACACATTCACATTAATACACTTCGGACTATTTTGCCAACAGTTTCCATTTAATTTGCCTGATAGCCGCTAGCTAGCTGTCAGCTTTCTAACTATACTTAATGCTCTTTGATTTGAGCCAGTTTTCTAGAATTTTTAATTGTGCTTAAACGTTTTTTATTGACGCAAATTAGCGCTCAAGTAGAATTCGATGCCACGACGAACGAAAGTGTCAGCGAAAGAACAGCCAGACACAAAGCGAACAAAACTAGGCTGCAACTTTCATAAATCTGACCGAAGACGACCTCCAGCCCAAGGGCCAAGCTAAAGGAAAGCGAAAAGTGTGTGGCACACGCTGCACAGCGATACGAGTTGAAGAAATGCAGGCCATAGAACCGCTCAAGAGACCGTTGTCATAAAGTTCTCTGTCACGTAG